CTCCCCTGTCTGAGTGACGGGGAACTTCTGGCTCTCCAGGTGTTGTTGAAATACAACTCCTCCCATCCAGAGGCTTAGCTAGCAAGTCGGGTGCCCAGTGCGCCCTGACCCTCCTCCCCTCCTAGCTACACCTCTGCCACCATCCCTGGTCGTTTGGAGTCCCAACAACCTCTGCAGGGCCACAGTTGCCCCACCCTTCTTCCAGGCAGGTCTGCACCATACATTTAAAGTATATGGCTTCCCCCCAAGAATCCTAGGAGGGGGAAAGAACAGTTCCCAGGTTTGGGGGGGGGGGAGTTGTGTGCTTTAAATGTTTGTTGGGTGCCCTTTAAATGTGTTGTGTGGATCTGCCATCTATCTATCTATCTATCTATCTATCTATCTATCTATCATATCCTCCAATGAAAATAAGGACATCCTAATGAAAAGTAGGACATTCCAGGATCAAATCAGAAACTGGGCTGGCTTCTGTAAATCTGGGATTGTCCCTGGAAAATAGGGACACTTGGAAGGCCTGCTATTTATCTGTCTGTCTGTCTGTCTGTCTGTCTGTCTATCTAGCTAGTGCTTTTTTCTTTTAAAAAAGAATATGTTTAGGGGTACTCTCATTTTCTTACTCATATTGAATTACTGCCCCTCAATGAGGCCAAACTTAGATTCACAACATGTTTAGGGGTATGTGTACCCCTGCATACCCACAGAATAAAAGTGCTGTATCTATCTATCTATGAATGAATGGATGATGGAAGTATAGTTATACTGGGGAATATATAGTTATATTCCCCAAAAAGGAGTACAGAGGTACCTCAGGTTACATATGCTTCAGGTTACAGACTCCGCTAACCCAGAAATAGTACTTCAGGTTAAGAACTTTGCTTCAGGATGAGAACAGAAATCGTGCTCTGGCGGCGCGGCAGCAGCAGCAGGAGGCCCCATTAGCTAAAGTGGTGCTTCAGGTTAAGAACAGTTTCAGGTTAAGTACAGACCTCCAGAACGAATTAAGTACTTAACCCGAGGTACCACTGTATATGGTTCATTCTACTTCATATGTGCTGTATACCTTTCTCTCCCAGAATCACAATACACATTCTTCTCTGACTGGATATCAGGCAGCTCCCTATGACCTGGCAGGTTACGGACTTCAAGATTCGCAGCCTTTGTTTGCTTCTGATGTAATTCATTTAAGCCAGAGTTGCTACCTCAGTAATAGGCCTGCCTTGTTATGTCGGTGAGTGAATCGATGAGCTGGGGTTTCACTCTCCCTTAATTTGATGTGGTGTTTGAGGCTAAGTGGTGCCCCTTCTGTCATAGCCTCTGGCTTTGTGGTGGTCATTAGACCTTTTACGTCTCTCGGGAAACACGAGCGTCATCGCAAGCCTCACAAGCTGGGAGCTCCCATGAAACTGCATCGCCGCAAAGGGCTGCGGGAGGCTCCTGGGTCTTCTTAATGGAACTGAGGTAACTAATGGGACCTGAGGTTTCTCGTACGGAACCTCCCAGTTACGAAACCCAAGTTGTTATTCTGTTCCACTTGACAGGTCATCCTAGGGAGGAAAAGATCCAGGCTGCTCTGTCAAAACAAAAAGGAGCCAAGAAAGCCTTGCCTCTGAGGATTAATTATACAGACCGTAAAGCACAGATGCAAAAAGAAACGAATCGGCACTCAGATCCTAAGCACAACGCACTTTCTTGGAATCAGAAAATTGAGAGCAGATTCACAAATAAGCCTTAGCAGGGTTGTGTTTTCAGACAGCATTGGAAATTGGTAAACAAATTAAAAATGCACTTTCTTACTACCATGGTGCCAAGGGCTGCTCCAGACAGTGGTGGAGCGTCATGCTCCGGCACCGGGGGGGGGGGGGGCTAGAGCAGGCAGGGGCAGGGGCAGGGCTGGCGTGCATCCCGGGAGTGTGACGCGCCACCCACAGGAGCTTGGCATGCATCCTGGGGGCGTGGTGCCCAGTGCAGGCAGGGGGGCAGCCGCAATGGCACCCCACTGTGATTGCACTGCCAGGGCAGTGCGCTCCCCCCTGCACTCCTCTTCCACTGCCAGTGGCTCCAGTTAATCTATTTATTGAGCACTCGTTCTTATCTGCTTGCACAAATCTTACATGGTTGGACCACAGCCAGTCTTTATTGTATACTGTACCACTTTGGTAAGGTCCGGTTGCAAAGTAGTTTGTAAATCTGCAAATAAAGTAAGGGGAAGGGACAAATGTGAAGGGCGGGGGGACTCTGATGAGATGGAAAGATGGGGCAGCTTCAGAAGGTGCTGAGGCCATGGAAAATGAGACTGGACTTGCATAGGATCCCTGAGCCACAGGTTGTCCATCTGTGCTTTATAGCAGGTGTGGGAAACCTTTGGCCTTTCAGGTGTTGCTGAACTGCAGCTCCCATCACCTCTGGCCATTGGCCCTGCTTGCTGGGGCTGCTGGGAGTTGTAGTTCAGCAACATCAGGAGGACCAAAGGTTCCCCAAGTCTCCTTTATATAAACACTGACATTATGGTCTCCTCTGTGCTGAAGAAGTGAACCTGCTTGAATGCTTCCTGTGTAAATAAACAAAGGCACCAACCTCCCCAGCCTGCGGAAAAGAAGAACATCGTAAAGAAGGCAGAGCTAAAATCCATCTTAGAATCATAGAATCATAGAATCATAGAATCATAGAATCATAGAGTTGGAAGAGACCACAAGGGCCATCGAGTCCAACCCCCTGCCAAGCAGGAAACACCATCAGAGCACTCCTGACATATGGCTGTCAAGCCTCTGCTTAAAGACCTCCAAAGAAGGAGACTCCACCACACTCCTTGGCAGCAAATTCCACTGTCGAACAGCTCTTACTGTCAGGAAGTTACTCCTAATGTTTAGGTGGAATCTTCTTTCTTGTAGTTTGGATCCATTGCTCCATGTCCGCTTCTCTGGAGCAGCAGAAAACAACCTTTCTCCCTCCTCTATGTGACATCCTTTTATATATTTTGAACATGGCTATCATATCACCCCTTAACCTCCTCTTCTCCAGGCTAAACATGCCCAGCTCCCTTAGCCGTTCCTCATAAGGCATCGTTTCCAGGCCTTTGACCATTTTGGTTGCCCTCCTCTGGACACGTTCCAGTTTGTCAGTGTCCTTCTTGAACTGTGGTGCCCAGAACTGGACACAGTACTCCAGGTGAGGTCTGACCAGAGCAGAATACAGTGGCACTATTACTTCCCTTGATCTAGATGCTATACTCCTATTGATGCAGCCCAGAATTGCATTGGCTTTTTAGCTGCCGCGTCACACTGTTGGCTAATGTCAAGTTTGTGGTCAACCAAGACTCCTAGATCCTTTTCACATGTACTGCTCTCAAGCCAGGTGTCACCCATCTTGTATTTGTGCCTCTCATTTTTTTGCCCAAGTGCAATACTTTACATTTCTCCCTGTTAAAATTCATCTTGTTTGTTTTGGCCCAGTTCTCTAATCTGTCAAGGTCATTTTGAAGTGTGATCCTGTCCTCTGGGGTGTTAGCCACCCCTCCCAGTTTGATGTCACCTGCAAATTTGATCAGGATGCCCTTGAGTCCATCATCCAAGTCGTTGATAAAGATGTTGAATAAGACCGGGCCCAAGACAGAACCCTGTGGCACCCCACTAGTCACTCTTCTCCAGGATGAAGAGGAACCATTGATGAGCACCCTTTGGGTTCGGTCAGTCAGCCAGTTACAAATCCAAAGAGTGGTAGCATAGTCAAGACCGCATTCTACCAGCTTCTTTACAAGAATATCATGGGGCACCTTGTCAAATGCCTTGCTGAAATCAAGGTAGGCTACATCCACTGCGTTCCCTTCATCTACCAGGCTTGTAATTCTGTCAAAAAACGAGATCAGGTTAGTCTGACATGACTTATTTTTCAGAAATCCATGCTGACTATTGGTGATCACAGCATTCCATGCACAGCTGCCCTGCAGAAAGAGTTGTTCTGACTGGAGAAGATTAAGGCTCATTGGGCTTCTTGTCTGGGCTGCATATGCTGGACCCATCCTCTGAGTCCCATTGAACTCACGGCCCTTTCAGGGATAGAGACACACCAGGCAGAATAAAAGTTTGCACAGTTCCATATATATCACAGATCTCAGGTTACTGGTGATTCTGAATGAATTTCAGGCTAGCAAGGATGCAGAGACAGTCCTCCCAGATTGTAAGGGCTAGTAAATTAACCTTGCCCAATAAGAAGAGCCTGAAAGTGCCAAGATTTAATATTTCAGAGAGAAACCTCCCTCCTACTAACTGGTTCTCCTGGCAATCTGATGAACAGCATGCTTTTATCAATACTGGTCAACCTTCCCAATTTCACCAATCAACAATCAAATGCATATGGGTCACTTTTACTCATCCCACAATGAGGAGGTGGTAGACCTGTTTGGCTCTTGCCAGTATCTGATGTGTGAAAGTATCAACACTTCCTACATTAATGAATAACCATTTATGGCCCTCCTGAATCCCCAGCGGCTGTTGACATACGTTGGGATCATTCCTAGGCTAAGCAATTAAAAGGAACTTTTATTGCCACATAACACTGCGTGTTTTGCCAGGGAGTTCTGGCTTTTTAGGTGGCAAAATACCTTCCTCTAGATTCTAGGTTCCCAAACAGTGCAAAACCGATAAGGAACTTTGGTGTGTCATATTGACAGTACCCTCCTGTGGGTGACAAAGTAGAAGCTCCTCACTCCTTTGCAATCTGCATAAGACCTGGGTGGAATCTACACACATAAAAAACGCTGTGAAAATGCTGTTGTTGTTGTTGTTTTAAAAAAAACATTTTGAAAAATACATTGAATTTGGCATAGCTCACTGTCACCATCTAGTGTCACACTTGTATACTGCACATTACAAGACATTTAAAACCTTTTATAGCTGAGTCCCTGGATGCCTCTTAGTCTGTGCAAGACACACCTTAGGGCTACTCTGCAATTCTGCACAAGCGCAGAATTTTCTTGTTTAAAAGAAAAAGCTAAAGGGCTTTAGGACTAGGGAATAGCTTAGTTGGCAGAGCATGAGAATCTTAATCTCAGGGTCATGGGTTCAAGCCCCATGTTGGGCAAAAGTTTTCTGCATTGCAGGGGGTTGAACTAGATGACCCATGAGACCCCTTCCAAATCTACAATTCTATGATTTTATGATTCTGTAATAACTTCCTGGTAATAATGCCTCTGAACTCAGAATGCTTCAGGAGGATTTTCAAGCTTCAGAGAGCTATGCTTTAAGTGCCCTAAGCTACCCCCTTTACATGAACTAAAATGCATTATTATGCTTTTTTAACGTATAAATGCAAATATATCTCATTTATACAGGTTTCAGCACTTGGCTTTTCTTTGTGCAGTTCAGTCACTTGCAGTGCAACATACAGAAAGGGATGGGTTACGTCTTCCCCTCCTAAACATCAATCATATAGAAAGCCAAAATTGCAGTGGAAATAAATTTGGGTAAGTAATCAGCAATTCCTGTCACCCTGTTGCTAAGACAGCATGTATTGGACCCATTCCCTAGTTACATTTCCTAAACTGAAAGCAGATATGTAGAAATTGCCACGAGGATTAGCTTGCCTTTTGTTGTTGTTGCCGTTGCAAATATCTCGGCTCAGCCCTGTGCTGTTGTGAAGTGTGTCAGCCTGGCTTGAGAAAACATCTTCTAGGTTGAAAGGAATCATGGGAGATGTGTGTCTCTCGCATGCTGAGCTGAGGATACAAGTTCCTGATGTCATTTTAAGAAAATCATTGGTCTAATCTTGGCTGGGTCTTTTGTTTGTCTGTCATCATCTGGAGTTTGTTAAAATCCTTTTGGCTTAGTAGATGTGGATGCTGTTGTGTCATTCATCGCGCTTGCCAGCACAACAGCCCTCAGCCACTCCTGCTTTGGTTTTTTTTACAGATGTAAAAAAAGAGGGTGACAGTTTATTCCTTTTTTCCCTCCTGCATTATTGTGTCAGTCATCTAGAGGCCTTCTTGGTGCAACAAAGACTAGAAGTGACTTAGATCATTTCAGCATTGTGGCCCTGAGGATGTCAGCAGAGAGCTTGGGGTTGGGAAGGCAATTATGTGGTGAGATTCTTGCCCATCCTGGCTTGTTAAGGCCAGTTGAGTGAAGCTTAGGAGCCTACTGGCTGAAACCATCAGCATTCCACTGCAGGGAGGGAGGGACCGTTCTCTGTTAAAAGAGGTGGTTGTCTGCCCACTCCTGAAGAAACTGTCTTTAGATGAGGAGGATGGAGCCAACCTGTTTTTAAAATCTAAGAAAATCAATCAAACATGTAGTGGCAGGGCAAATTAAGGCGTACACAGATGTTGCATCCTCCCTTGACCCATTTCTGTCTGGTATTGGGTTTGGTTATGGAACTAGGATGGCTTTAGTGGCACTGGTTGTCCTATTTCCTGCCCAAAAAACCATGACAGGTACTCTTACTTGAAAAATGTGAACATTTATTATAGCAGTGTAACAGGACAAACTTGGCATCGAGGAAAAAAACAAGTATCTAGTCTAGGAGCTCTTAAATGGGAAGGGAACAGCAACAAAACAATCCAGCCCAGGATCAAGGGCCAGCATTCAGGCATCTGAGATTAGTAAGAAGGGTTCCAAGACTGAATGGGAGCCATGAGGTTCTTCCAACAAGTTTCCCCGCCTACATGCCAAATGTTTAATCAGAGGTGGAGAATACCCAGTACACATAAGAATCCCTGCCCCTTCAGGATTTCCTGAACTGTAGACAGGCTTTCTGCCTAGGGGGTTGAGTTCCCTGTTTCCTCTTGATGCACCAGCTCTCCCTGGGTGGCACCACTGAACCCACTCCCCCCCCCCCGAATCCCCCTGCTCCATCAGAGCAGGGTGTGCTCCTGAGCCCCCCTCATCTTCCACAGATGAGTAAAAATACAGCCTCCGGGCCTCCTAGTGTTTAGTCAGAATCTCCTTTCTTGTAACTGGAAGCCATAGATTCGGGTCCTACCCTCTGGAGCAGGAGAAAACAAGCTTGCTCCATCTTCCATGTGACAGCCCTTTAGATACTTGAAGATGGCTATCATATCTCCTCTGAGTCTCCTCTTTTCCAGGCTAAACATACCCAACTCCCTCAACCATTCCTCATAAGGCTTGGTTTCCAGACCCTTGATCACCTTGGTTGTCCTCCTCTGCACACGTTCCACCCAGTTTGTCCATATCTTTCTTAAATTGCGGTGCCCAGAACCAAGGCAGAATAGAGTGGCACTATTACTTCCTTTGATCTGGACACTAGACTTCTGTTGATGCAGACTCAAACAGTATTAGTATCTGTTGCTGCTACATCACATTGTGGACTCATGTTAAGTTTTGAGTCTACTAGATCCTTTTCACATGTCTAAACCACAGAGCCTAGGGCAGCGGTTCAAATCCCTGCGACGGGGTGAGCTCCTGTTGTTCGGTCCCAGCTCCTGCCCACCTAGCAGTTTGAAAGCACGTCAAAGTGCAAATAGATAAATAGGTACCGCTCCAGCGGGAAGGTAAACAGCGTTTCCGTGCGCTGCTCTGGGTAGCCAGAAGCGGCTTAGTCATGCTGGCCACATGACCTGGAAGATGTCTGCGGACAAATGCCGGCTCCCTCGGCCAGTAAAGTGAGATGAGCACTGCAACCCAAGTCGGCCACGACAGGACTTAATGGTCAGGGGTCCCTTTACCTTTACCTTTACAGGCATTGCATTAAAATTCACGTTGTTAGCCTGGGGCTAGTTCGAACACAGAACACAGCAAGCTGACTCACACTGAGTCAGGCCATTTTTCATCTACCTCAATATTGTCCACACTGACTGGCAGGAACTCCCCAGGGTTTTAGACAGGACATTCCCAGACCTATCTGGAGTTGCTGGGGGCCTTCTTCTTGCAAACAGATGCTCTAACCACTGAGCGACAGCCCCACTGCTATTGATCCTTTGCATTTAGAAAGCTTTGGTTATTTTATTGTCGATTGTATCATTTTACTTTGGAGAAGCTATCAGAAGTTTTTGAGATGTTGTAAAGGAAAATCTGCTTGACCCAAACAACAAAATTGGCTAGTAATGGATTTGTCTTTGGGGTTTATTTAATGCATAAGGCAGCAAAAATGGAGCATAGGTTCCAAGATTAACCTCTTTAAAAATAAAATTCATATATTATTTGAAGGATAAAAATACAGTCTCTGTGGCCCTGTGTTTACCCTGCCGTCTTCAGCGCCCTCCAATTATCTCTCCATCTCTCTTACGCTGCTGTATAATTTATACCCCTGCAGTGGAGTGTTTTGAAGTGGGAGGTCAGGACTTGTGAGCTATGAGCCCGGAGCCTTAAAATTACCCCCTTGAGCCCCTTCGAGGTATCATTACGGAGCCCTCAGAATAGACTGCTGCAAAGTCTTGGCTCATCGTTCAATTTATCTGAATTTGCTTTATTTCTGAGCAGCACCCCTCAACAAGTCTACTGAGCGACCATGACTCTTAAAGAAATGGTGGCCAGAGAAGAAATCCTTGGAGGAGCTGTGGAATATCCTTTTGCCTGGAACACACTGGCTTGTTCCTACATCGCAGCAGAGAACCAGGGTATAAGTCTCCCTGTGTTTTTATTCTCTTTGTGTCAGGCTGCTGCCAGCGACTCCCATGGCTGGTTGCCTAGGAATGTACAAAGACAAGGAAGGTTCTTACCATCCACTTTTTATTCAATATTTACAGAGACAGGCTATAGAACCCAGCCTCTTGGATAATGCCATTGTCCCAAGTGAATCTCTACCCCACCCCCCGTCCAACTTCCTCATTCGTCAATCTCATCATCTCCTCTACGAGTGCTGATAGGTGCTCTCTGCCTTTGAGCTCTTTGCTCCTAATTTCAAGGCTCACCCGGTTCTGGGAGAGGGGGGTCTGGAATGCTTTCTAAAGACACTGTGTCCATCAGCTGTCGCCCCCTTGGTGCTTCCTCTTCCTCCTCCTCCTCCTCTCCCATTATTTCCTAACTTTCCCCCTCATCTGCCTCTGAGTTGTGACCTCCCTCAAACCCCTCTTGTAAATCTAAACCGTCTTCCTCTTCTCTGGAAGGGTCAGGCTGGGGAGGTGGTCTCCACCATTCCTCCTCTGCCCAGTCCCTGACACTTTGACAGCCTTCGGGCACTGCTGCTACTTTCAAGTGCTATTGTCAATCACTTGCCAACAAATTCATGGCACACACTTACTACAACAGCAGGGAATGGTGTGGTGGGACAATGGAACTCACCTGACTGTCAGTCACTGCTGCTTATTGGGAGGTAGAGGGGGAGGGGGCAAGGCTGCGAGGCCAGTGTGATGCAAAGGCACTGATGGAGCCAATCTGGTGCTCCCACAGCCACCTCCCCCTCTGCCTCCCTGTAAGCAGCAGTGGCACAACCAACTGGAGGTCAGGCGAGCATCGCTGCCATGCCACACCACCTCCTACTGAACAACCTGATAAATCTTCAAGGATACACTGGCAGCCTCAGTGTCCTATTGGGGAATGGCCATCACAATCATAGAATTGTGGAGCTGGAAGGGACCCTGAGGATCATCTAGTCCAGGCATGGGCAAACTCGGCCCTCCAGATGTTTTGGGACTACAACTCCCATCATCCCTAGCTAACAGGACCAGTGGTCAGGGATGATGGGAATTGTAGCCCCAAAACATCTGGAGGGCTGAGTTTGCCCATGCCTGATCTAGTCCAACCCTCTGCAATGCAGGACTATGCATCAATCCCATATGGGGATCAAACCTGCAATCTTGCTGTTATCAGCACCATGCTCTAACCAACTGAGCTATCCAGGCTCAATTTTTTATCTCACTGTTGAGTACAGACTGAGGAAATCTTAGGCCTCGTCCATCCTCTCTGTTATGGAGCATCCCTGGTATGGGAAAATCCAAATGGAGGGAGGGGAAAGGGTGAGAAGGCAGTGATTTGGAGGAAAATGGCACATAGACAGCAGAGAATTAATGGAGATACAGGATGCTCACTATCCACATGGAACAACAATGATGATGGATGAGGCTTTAAACTCAGAGCTGACTCTCCGGCGCTGCCTTTCAAGTATGAGACAACAGGCTTTGCATTCAA